AGGACTGGTCGACAGGTAACTTTCGATACCCGAAGTCACATTCGCGACATTGGGCTTAAACCTAAGTCAGATGCAAAACAAGGAATGACACAGCTTGATGGAAGCCAAACTAATATTTCAAGTGGTTGGACATACATTCCAACCACTATCCCTACTATACATTTGAAACCCTCTATTCATCCCGTGTCCAAATTTGTAATTTAGTGACATTCCATATTTAGTAAGTTTCAAGTTTGTCCCAAATACTAACTCCTGGTACTAAGGGAGGCTTTGGGTGAAAGCCCAAAGTATGTGATCCTCAAGGGCAATGTGGGGGGGGGGGATATAAAGGGTTTCAAATGTATAGTAAGGATAATGGTTAGAATGTATGTCTAACCACTTGAGATATTAGTTTGGCTTCCATTAAGTTGTGTCATTCCTTGTTTTGCATCTGACTTGGGTCTAAGCCCAAGCCCCACGTTGCTCTAGTTGGTGGGGTACCTTCCTTCTTGCATTAGGTCACCGGTATGCCAAAATTGTGCCAAACACCATCCGATACCATTTTGAGTGCAAGTGTTAGATACAAGGAGCTAGTGCTCATAGGATTGTATCAGACCCTCGTTTCATAGTGCAACATGCTTAGAGTTCGGCTCCAAATTCAAGTGTGCTACATTACTTCGTAAGGTTTTAATGGATCAACAATGTGAACCATTGGAGCTTTGCTCAACAACTATTTCAATGCCACTTTACTTTCCTCATGTGGCTTCTTCCACTCGAATGGCATGTTTTTATGCAACAATTGTGTCAAAGGAATAACCACCTCCATAAAATTATCTTGGAAATGTCGGTAGTAATTAGCCATATCAAGGAAGCTACGTGTAAACTAGTTTTTCACCATATCCATCTTCCTTGGATCCATCTTAACACCTTTAGATGTCATAATATAGTTGAAATATTCCACCTCTAACTTTGCAAACTCATAATTACTCTTCTTTGCATAAATTTTGTTGTCACATAGTAAGAAAAGTGCACCTTATGCTCTATATTCTTATTGAAAATAAAAATATTGTCTAAGAAAATATCCACAAACTCACAAAGATAACTCCCAAATACCTCCATCATTAATTGAGTAATGTGGCTGGTGCATTCATCAAACCAAATAGCATAATTGTAAACTCAAAATGCCTGAAGCTTGTGTTGAATGCCATCTTGGAAATACATGCATCATCCATTGCAATCTGATGATATCCATTCCTCAGATTAATCTTGGTAAGCATTTGTGCTTCACTAAGTTTATCTAAGATATCATCCACATATGGCATCGATATCTTATCTTTCACTACTAGCTAGAGATTTTTTTTTTTCTTTTAGTTCTAAAAAACAAGAAACATGCTATATAATTTTTTATCACCCATTGTGCAAGAGGAAAATATTACCAATTTCCCTAATAGGTACTTAATTATAACTTTTAATATGTTACAACTTAAGTAGGTTAGACCCAAGGCAACTATCACCTGTCATCTTAGTAGCTCCCAATAGCTGTCACTTTGACATTTCAATGGCTCCTAATGGCTATCACCCCATACTAACAACTCCTAGTGGTTGTCACCTTGACATCCCAATAGCTCTTACCAATTGTCACTTTGACATCTCAGTGGCTCCTAAAAGCTGCTATTGTAGCACACTTAAATTTAAAGTCAAACTCCAAGCTTGTTACACTATGAAACGAGGGTCTGGTATGCACTCAATATCTTCTACGAGCACCAACTCCTTGTATTCAAATTTTGTATGCAAAAAGGTATCAAACAAAGTTTGGCACAATTTTAATATACTAGTGGTCTAACACAATTTAGCATACTAGTAGCCTAACGCAAAGAGGAGGGTACTCTACCGATTAGAGCAATATAGAGCTTGGGCTTAAACCCAAATATTAAATATAGAATAAAGAGTGATATAGCTTAATGGATGCTAAATTAATGTTTCAAGTGGTCAACCATGCTTTCAACCACTATCCCTATTATACATTTGAAACACCATCCTCACCATCCCCTTTCAAGGAACACACACTTTGGGCTTTCACCCTAGTCCCAAGAGTTAGTTTTTTGAAACAAACTTGAAAACTTATTAAATATAAAATGGTACTAGTTGCAAATTAAGGCACAAGAACATTATTGTAATGTATTTGATCATGGGATGAGATTTGGATATACTGCCACTGTGGATCCTTGGAACCTTAGGGGATAAATAGGGATAAAATAACCACTAAAGGCTCTCTCATCAAGCAATCGCCCCTTTTCCAGTTGGTTTAAAGGGAGAGAGATAAAGTGTGCTACATGTGGTATTAGAGCAAATGGCACAGATTTAATTCCCATTGATTAGTGTCTACTTAAAAATATAATATACCTTTGAGAAAAGTATATTCATACCCCTAAATTTGAAATCATATGTATTGGCATCCATGCATACATCCTTCCTCTTGTGTAGAGTACCTATAAATGAAGGTATCCACTATGGGACTGCGATATTGTAGGTGGATGACTAGTTGCCTCATATGGAATAACTAATTTACACAATAGAAGGATTGGTAGATTTAGTGCGGAAATGGAGGTGTTGGTTCCCCTTAGCTTAGTAAGGGTTATTAGTCAATAGTCAATGAGGACATTAATATCTTTAAAAGGGGGGTGAATACAACGCATTTAATCATGGGATGAAATTTGGATATACTATCACTATGGATCCTTAAGTTTTATAAATATAGTCCTTGAGCAGATCTAAACATTTACTATAAATTGCATATAGGATCGGAATGGAATGAATATATAGGGTATGATAGCAAGAGTGTTTAGTAGACATGGTAAATTATCATAAGCTTCTCAAAGATCGTTTGCCAAAACTTGGACATGAACTTGGGATCCCGATCACTCACAATGTCATCTAGCAAACCATAGAGACTAGTGATATTGAGAGACTAAACTCAATATACAAGGTTTTTGCTAAGCCAGTGCAAAACAGAAAAAAAAAAAAAAAAAAAACTAAAAGCCAGGTCAAGAAACACATAATTTTCTATTTTCTGTTCATCTAGCTAAGTATAGATGCTAAGTCTAATTTATTAACACTTGAACAAGAGGGGTTAATGAAAGGAATCAATAGTATTAATCTTGTACTGTTGTGGCAGTAAGGAGAAAATATTTGTAAAGATTGACTGACAAGTATCTTTTGATACCCAAAGTCACATTTGCAACACTCTCCCCTCTTTAGGGAAGATTGATGTCTTCATCAATAGTAAATCATTAAGGAAATAATTCTTAAATTTCATAGAAAATATACTTTGTGGGAAACACATCAACTTAAATGAGTGGAGAATGAACTTTTCTCTACGGCTAAAGACGTTAAGACTTAAACACCCTCCGGCCATCACTGATAAGGAAATGACTAATAGAATTAGCCACATTTGCTATTCCAAGTACCACTCAACTTATAAGAGAATGATACAACCATGTTCGTAAGGATATTGAGAGAAAACTAAAGGCCCAACTCTCCTAAGGACAAATCAACCCCATTAGAAAGATTTAAACAACTATTATAATTTGGCAAATGAAGTTGTTTATATGACCATGCCCTTTTCAAAAATGGGTCAACAAAAGAGAGGTTAGGACTTGTGATTAATCTATAATACTTATCCCCATGGTTATGAATTAAATCTATGCACCGAAGTGCCAAAGTCAATCTTCCAAAACTGACCCAAAATTAACGAATGAGAGAAATGTATAATAGAAATGTATTACTTTTTTATTAATTTGCAAGATTTATTACAAAGATTTATAAAAACTACTTTTTATTATGATTCTCATACTCTATGACAAACTCATGGGCATTTGTAAGATTACAAAGAGTCTCCTAAATAGATTCATACGTTGGGTAGCCATGCCACTTGACTAGGTACTTATGACATTAAAAATGTTTGGTCCAATGACTATCCAAAATAGCTTCAACTTCATACTCAGTTCACCATCAACAACCGCTAGTAGGGGACAAATGTGCATAGAGTGTTTTACAACAGCATGATATGGTGTCAATAAATTGACATAAAACATATTATGGACGTGGGATAACTCATCCAAAAAATCCAATTTATAGAATACATTATTAACCGATTTCAATACCCAATAGGGTCTAACATATCTTGCTAATAGCTTCTGGGACAAAAACCCCTTAACATTGAAAGATAGCCATATCTAATCTCCCACTTAATAGGATACATCTCAATGATGTTGATTTTTATCACATTGATACCTATCTTGAGCTTTACCCATCACCTCAATAGCCCTAAACCAACCTTGGTGCAGCTACTCCACATAAGTCTCAATGGTTGGGACCAACACCACAAACATTGGTTTTAGGATAAAAATTTATTAAGGAACCCCACAAGCATTTCTTTATAGCATCTCCTATGAAGAATAGTTAATAGTGTTATAAAATGTGTTATTATAATAGATTTTTGCTATGTTCAAATGCTCAACCTAGCCACATTGGTCCACTGTGACATAGTACTAAAAATCTATTTACCCATCTATTTAAGGATGATAAGTTTTATTAAATTTCAATTTAGTCTAAAACTTCCCAAATCTCGAATCCCTAATATATATAGTTCTTAGAAAGGGTGATCACCAATAAGTTGGGGGGAAGAATTGTTAGCATCAACTTTAACCACATACACAAGAGAAGGCATAACATACTCTAGAAAGATTAGATTTTTGTCTTTTCACACTGAATCATAACATTGGTATTAGAAGTTTACCAAACCCTGGTTCTCCTTCTAGATCCACCATGTTAAATATTTCTTTAAAATATTCCTACCCCTAAGCCAACTAGGTAAAAAGGTAATCACTTGATTGTATATTATCCTGACTTAATGTCTAACAATCTCTTGTTGGAGTTTGACCAACACACAGTTTCTGGCTGGGCTTAGAAGGAGCTCGCTGTTCATAATTGTTCTTCACGTCAAGAGTTGCATCGCCATGCTAAACAAGTAGCAACTTGCTTGTCACATCATGTTGTGTAAGCAAATCAAATTTGAAAAAGGAAAAAATATGACACTTTGCAGACCATATCAACCAGTACATGATCATGCAAGCACTGGAAACAGCTTTGATACCACGTCCAAGGAAATGTTATCTCCAGCGTTTTTCCTCTGCGATGGATCGTTGTATTCATTAGATGGTAGCGTGACAACCTATAGGAGTGATGAGATCAACCAGTGAGTGCCATTTTCTTCTGAGACTTACCTGGCTTCCGCCATGGCCCTTGTGAAGCTTCCAACCGCTGTTGGCTGCATGAAATTCAAGATACTTATCCAACGATAAGCCCTCCAAATTCAGAGCCTGCAAGGATAGAACGTCCGTCACAATACTTCGTATCATAGTTTTCTTTCTACCTCTGCAAGGACGGCCCTGGGGACCTTTTGGTACGTCAGGGACAAGACGTGCACCCCGTACGACTGGATTGCGCTCTCAAATCCTGAAACAAACTCTTTAGAATTTTAAAACTAAACAGAATCTTCTCGTACCTGGAATGACTTCTAAAATGTCACGATTACGAGCAGCCTCGTCCCAAAACTCGCGGAACCTAGCAGTCTGAGAGGAAAATGAACATAAGCGAAGGAAAGCGCGGCTAGGAGCGGAGTACCTCCAAGTAGTGAGACAGAGTTGCCAGAGTAAAGAACGGGTGTAGCATATGCTGATAAACCAAGTGAGAAAACAGAAACCCGGAAGCACAAGAACTTACAAGTCGTTCTGGCACAAGGCACATACAGAGGCCAAAATCCGGAGCTGGCATTGCCATCAAAGCCTGCAATTCATATGAGTGCAGCACTAGAAGCACAACAAGCCTACCTTCACAAGGATTTTAGTCACAATGTTGACATTAAGATTTCGTGGCTCAAACTGGTCGTGAGAAAAAGCAGTTGGCGCAAGAAAGAAACGACTAGGCAAGAAGAGCTTGCATACCTGGTAAAGCCGTAGAAGGCACAGATTGGAATCAAAGCTGTAAGTCTCAGTAGCAACCTATAGAATAAACACGCTAAGAGAAAGCAAGAAAAAGAAACAAAACGAAGAACTAGTTTTCCGGACCTGTTCTTGCACATAGGCTTCCAGATCGGGAAGAATGTCTGGATTGTAAGGATTGAGCGCGACTAGCTGCTCCATCGTTAGCTGCGGCTGCTCCTGCTCTCTCTCCCATTCCGACACCATATTTCCCACCTAAAGCACGACATGTCGCGATTCCAGGCCGCATTGCATCGATGGACAACATACCTCAGCGCCGGCTCGCGCAGCCTTGAGCTTCGAGGATTAGGGCAGAGCGAGGGTTTTGGCAGACGAATATGCCTGTAGGAATATTCTCTCATGTGCGTGCGGAGATCCTGGTGGCTTGCCCTAACCCTAGATTTACCTGAGAGAGATAGAGCAAGCAGGAATGGCGCGTCCTTGGGGAAAGGTCGGCGCCTGGGCGGACGATTCGGAAGCGGAAGCGGCAGCGGCAGCGGCGCCCACAGCGCCACCGCCAGCAGCGCCGTTGCCAGTGGAAGCGTTTCCATCGCTGGGGGAGGCCGCCGCCGCGAAATCCAGCAAGAAGAAGAAAGGTCAGACGCTTACTTTCGCGGAGTTCCAATCAGGGAAGTATGTTCCCGGTGTTAAGCAGCGGAGCTCGGCATCGTCGGGGATCTTCACCGACAGCGATCGCCTCACGTCGGACGAGATGATGATGCTGCCGACGGGGCCCAAGGATCGATCGGACGAGGAGCCCTATGAGCAGGGCGGGCGATTGGGTGGCGGCTTCCGGGACTATGGCGGTTTCCGGGGCGACAGGGATCGCGGGGACAGGGATAGAGGCGATAGAGGCGATAGGGAGCGCGATCAGCGTGGCTTTGGATTCGATAGAGAGCGCGAGGCCTCTCGCGCCGACGATAGCAGCGACTGGAGCTCCAACAAGCCTTCCAGAGGAGCTGGAGGAGGAGGTGGTGGGCGATTTGACGACGAGAATCGGCGGTACAGTGGCGATCGCTTTGGTGGCGATAGAGATCTTCCCTCCAAGGCGGATGAGGTTGATAATTGGGCTTCTGGGAAGAAATCGCTGCCTCCTCCCGAGAGGAGATCCGATGACATTGGTAGGAGGTCCGATGACTTTGGTAAAGGTGGTTTTGGGAAAGCTGACGCTGATGACAACTGGGGAGCTAACAAGAAGCCCGTGGTCTCGGACAAGTGGTCGTTTCGGAGGTCTGATGACTATGGCGGCCCCGACTCTGGCGACAAATGGAGCAGGAGGAGCAACGATGACTCTCCCGGCGATGATAAGTGGGGCGCTAGGAAAGCTGGCGATGAGGCCCCTCGCAGGCCACGGTTGAATCTAAGGCCCCGGACCCTCCCGCTGGAGAACTCGCCGCCTCCAGTGTCTGCTGATCAACAACATGGCAGTCGGCCATCCAGCAGTCACTCTAGTCGACCGGGGAGTCCTCCAGAAGTGGAAGCACCTCCAGTTGAGCCAAAGCCACGCCAGAAAGTGGACCCTTTTGGGAACGCAAAGCCGAGGGAGGTGTTGCTGGAGCAACGAGGACAGGACTGGCGGAAGATGGATATGGAGCTCGAGAGCAAAAGGTAAGTAGTCTTGTAAAGTTTCGTGTTCGTTCTTCCCCTGATGTTGTGTTATAGGCCCGACACTGACGAGGAGAAGAAGCTCAAGGAAGAGATCGTGTCCCTGAAAGAGCTAGCGGATAGCACCGCCGACCCTGCCGTGAAGGAGCAACTAGCCGAGAAGGAACAGGAGCTCGAGCAGCTGGTCAAAGAGCTTCATTCGAAGGCACGGGTATCGTCGGATCGTTGGAGGAAGGACGAGTCGAGAATCACTAGCCCTCCCGCTACAAGGCGCGATCCATGGAAGCGGGAGAATGGAAGGGATCGGCCAAAGGTTGATCGATGGTGATGATTCCAACAGCTTTGCGATTTTGTGTTACGACCGTCGCCCACCATGATCTCGTGCTCTACAATAATCCGGGGTGGCGACGGAGGTGAGAGATCTACTCTATTAATTTTTATTAATAATCCACAGTGTTCTTCGTTTCTTACATTGAAAGTATCTTCGACCGCTCATCCTTGCCGTGTCCTGTTGTGCTATAGTATTTTATTACTTGGGAGATTCAAAGAGATTCAAGTAAAAGGGATGAAATGAGCAGCTCTTTTGATCCTAGCTTGGATTTGGATCGTCCAAGCTTCGACTTGGATCGTCCCAGCTTTGAATTGGGTCGCCAGAGCTTTTCTACGACAAGGAACTGGGAGATTTTCGACACTCCGAGTCCTCCGCGAAGATCTTGCGTGTGTTCTTCGTCCTCGGCTTCGCTGGCCGGCGCTCGATCGGCTCCTCGGCTCTCCATCACTACTCCTCTTTCGGAGCGGCAAGGAGGCAAGTTCTTTAGCTTCTCGGCGTGCTCCACGCCGGCTAGCAACTATGTGTTTCGGTGCTTGGGCTCCGGAGAAGTGGGAGCTCCGAGGAGGATTTTGATCGTGGTGGACGCGAGCAAAGATGTGACCACTGAGTCACTCGAGTGGACGCTCACACACATTGCTCAGCCGGGGGACTTCGTCACCATCCTGGGACTCTTGCCATGGCTTACACTTCCAAGTAAGTGAATCTAAGTTTCATCAAGCTTGAAAGAAAAGCTTCTTTGCAGTGGCCGTGAAGCGATGGGCCAAGCTCAAAAAGATCGATGAGAGTCCCGGTCGCTTTGAGTCTCCGGAGTTTATGAGGATACAAGAACTTTACGCAACCAAAGGGGTGAGTTTATATCATCTCTGTTCGCCAAATAATTTGCTTGTGTCCAAGGTGTTCTTGGGGATCCAAATTCTTTCGGGCTTTCCTAGAAGAGATATCGCTGTGGACATGGCAAAGCGGATCGATGCAAGATGGATAATCTTCTACAGGTTAAGAACTTGGGCTCTCTCATATTTGATTAATTGTTTTGTTTTTCTTAGGTGGATGTGTGGTAGCTCCAATTATATTATAAAGAGACTGGGCAAGAAGAGGAACATAGTGTACTTGACCAGCAAAAGCGAGGGAATTGTGCTCTTTGCCTCTAAGCCCGCGATAATTAGTGTCCACGAAGCACCCGGATTCAGTAAAAGCCCTTCAAATCAAAATCCTGTGAAGGTTGAGCTCAACTTTGGAGCAAGGCGAATGAAGCTATCCCAATGGATAAACGCAATCAAATTATAATTATCAGCTTATGATTCGTAAATCAAACATTGTAATGATCATTCTTTTTAGAGACGACAAATCTAGCTGGTGGAGTTTCTCTGTAAGCAATAACTAGGACGCTGTTGGGACCAGCAAGTACAGAGACAAAATCGTTTCAATTTCTTTTGGTTGAGTGGGCAATATCAATTGTGGTCCAGCCAGCATATCCGATCCTCATTTCCACGCTATAAAAACCCTACGTTCCAAACTCCTCCATCGCCGCAGCACAATGGAATCATCCCATTCACTCAATAGCTACAGCCTCCTTATCTCCTCCTTGCTCTTGGCACTCTTCTTTTCATGCATTGCAACTCAATGTTCAGATGATCCAAAGGTGTACATTGTGTACATGGGTGCTGCTGATGAGCATCACAGCCACTTGCTGTCTAGCCACCACGCACAAATGCTGGCATCTGTTTCCAACAGGTGAAATCAGTCACCGAATGCCCAGCATATAAAATATATATAGATTCTATAGCTGTTTGTGTTCTAATTATTATTTGCTTTTTTGTATTGTGCTGTGGCAGGAGTGTGGAATCAGCTATGGAAACTATTGTCCACAGCTACACCCGAGCCATCAATGGCTTTGCTGCAAAGATGCTCCCCAGCCAAGCATCTATGCTACAACGTAAATTCCACCTCTTTCTCTGCTGTTTCATAACACATACAGACACTGAAATTTCACATTTCATATGGTTTTCTCCATGAACTATATAGAGATGCCGGGCGTGGTTTCCGTGTTTGAGGACTACACAGTGTCCCTCCAGACAACCCGTTCTATAAACTTCATAGGGCTGGAGGACGCATCCGGAAACACCGCAGCAAACTCGCTATGGAAGAAAACAATGGGCGAAAACATGATAATTGGCGTACTGGACTCGGGTATATGCCAATCCCCGATTCGAATCTTTCTTTAAATCTCCCGCATTTTCTTCTAGGTGTCTGGCCAGAGTCGGCGAGCTTCAGCGACGCCGGGCTGCCGGCTTCCCTTCCTGCGAAGTGGCACGGCAGCTGTGCGTCGAGCGCCTCCTTCACATGCAACAGGTAACGCGGATTAGATCTCTCGATCGATCGTTTCATCGATTGCTTCTTTTGTATTGCTGCTGGAGATTTCGCTGATGGCGCTTGCAGGAAAGTAATTGGCGCGCGGTACTATGGCTCTTCCGGCGGCAGCCCCCTGAATCCTCGCGATGTAACTGGGCATGGATCTCATGTCTCCTCCATAGCAGCGGGAGCTCGTGTGGCCGGCGTTGACGACTTAGGGCTCGCCAGAGGCACCGCAAAGGGCGTCGCGCCCCAGGCTCGAATTGCCGTGTACAAGATCTGCTGGGCGGTGAAGTGCGCGGGAGCCGATGTTCTCAAGGGCTGGGACGATGCGATTGGCGATGGCGTGGACGTGATCAATTACTCGGTGGGAAGCTCAAACAGTCCCTACTGGTCAGACGTTGCCTCCATCGGTAGCTTCCATGCCGTGCAGACAGGGGTCGTGGTGGTCGCAGCTGCTGCAAATGGTGGCATCGGTTGTGTTGTACACAACACTGCGCCGTGGGTGACGACGGTCGCTGCGAGCACGATCGATCGACGCTTCCCGAGTAACGTCGTCCTGGGAGATGGTTCAGTATACCAAGTAAGTTCTCTCCGCGAATTTTTCTTTCTTTTGCTCACTTCTTGTTCAGGGATCAAGCATCAACAATTTTAGTCTCGGCAATAGTTTCTATCCTCTGGTGAATGGAAGGGACATCCCTGCGCCCACGACATCACCCGAAAGGCAAGCTTGTATTGTTACTCTTTCTTGCTTGACTAGTTTTTCTCTTTCTCTCGTTGTGCAGTGCTATGGGCTGCTCGCCTGGAGCTCTTGATCCTGCCAAAGCCCAGGGAAAGATAGTTCTTTGCGGCCCTCCATCCGTGGATTTCAAAGATGTCGCTGATGGATTGAAGGCTATTGGTGCGGTTGGGTTTATTATGGGAAACGATGCAAATGGCAAGGAGAGATTGCTGTCACTCAGATTCACGATGCCTGCTACTCAAGTTGGAAACACAGCTGCAAATTCTATTTCTTCCTACATCAAGTCAAGCGGGTAAATAAGTTTTGCTTTGAAAATTCGATTACTCGATCACGAGGTCTCTTGTAGGAATCCAACCGCAAAGATTATACCGCCAACAACAGTGATTAATCAGAAGCCATCGCCCATGATGGGAATCTTCTCTTGTAAAGGTCCCAACCCTGTTGTCTCAGACATTCTCAAGGTCTGTGCCATGCAGATTGTATATGTTCAGTGATTAACGGTGTTTGTGCGAGTGGAAAAACAGCCAGACGTAACAGCACCAGGCGTGGACATCCTTGCCGCATGGTCAGAAGCAGCTGATAAGCCACCTCTCAAGTATAAGTTCGACAGTGGAACATCAATGGCCAGTCCCCATGTTGCAGGCTTAAGCACACTTCTCAAATCCTTGAACCCTGATTGGAGTCCAGCAGCGATCAAGTCTGCGATCATGACCACAGGTATCTTAAAAGCTGCCGAGAATTTTTAGCATTGTAAACTTACAGTTCTAATCCATCACCATAGCTTACACGCAAGACAACACCGGGACGACAATTCTCGACGGTGACTATGACGTTGCTGGTCCCTTCAACTATGGATCAGGACACATCAACCCGGTTGCAGCAGCGGATCCGGGGCTTGTTTACGATGTAGGAAAGCAGGACTACGTCGCTTTCTTGTGCAACATTGGCTTCTCGGCAAGACAGATCCAAGCTATGACTGGAGAACCTGGTAACTGTCCTGCCACCAGAGGCCGAGGCAGCGACTTAAACTACCCGTCAGTGACGCTCACCAATCTGGCAAGAGAGGCAGCAGTGACGAGAACTCTCACCAGTGTCAGCGATTCGCCAAGCACGTATAGCATTGGTATAACTCCACCGAGCGGGATCAGTGTTACTGCCAACCCAACGAGCTTGATGTTCAGCAAGAAGGGGGAGCAAAAGACGTTCACGCTCAACTTTGTTGTGAACTATGATTTCCTGCCTCAACAGTACGTGTATGGTGAGTATGTGTGGTATGACAACACGCACACTGTTCGCAGCCCGATTGTGGTCAATGCGGTGAGTCGCCTTGCAATCGGGGAAGAGAAATTGGTTTCTGAGATTTAACGGAAGGTATCATGGTACTACTATATTTTAATGTTACAGGGAACAAAGGAAGTAACAAACATTTCTTCAGGACAGATACGTATCAAACACTAAGCATAATGTTCTTTCAAACGGAAAACGACTTTGAAGAACGGCAGAGAGGCTTTAACAATTCTTTAAAATCACAAGAGAATCGGAGCTGAGTTTTGAGATGTCAAAACCATTCTGCCAAAACTTACCAGGCCTCAATCGAAAGAGTGGAAGGTTTTCTCTCTGGCAGCGATTTTGACATGTCACTCAAAGCGGGATGTAATTCAGGACGATGCATGAGCTTTACATTTTCAAATTCCACTTCCCCATTCTCTGGCCTCTTGGAAACACGTGGTTCTTGTTTGTTTGTCACCAACTTCTACATAGATCATTAAGTACTGTTGTAGACATTGCAGAGAAGCTTTCTAAAACTATACAAGCTGTTATGTTATCCAGGTTAGGGTTTGTGCGATGGCGCTTTGGCGCCATCGATGGCGCGCTTGGTGCTGGTGATGATCTTGCCAATCCATGGCTGGAATGCATTGCATCGCGCTCGTCCTCTCGTTGGTATTGGATTCTTTCTGCTGCTGTTGCTAATCGATTTTGGTACTAGGGAGCTCTCGGATCGGATTATCTGGATGTGATGTCAATTGCTAGGTAAGTTCCTCATGCCCTCAATCTCTCTAGGATTGCATGGAGTCAGTCTTGTGCGATCAATGCGTGCTTTTCCCTTGCCTGTATTCTTCTTTTTCTTCGCATTCTTTGCCTCGCTTTGAGTTGAGGCTCGAGAAAGAAAGAGAGAGCTTTGAGAGAGTTCTTCTTGCCTTGATATATGATAGTGATTATCCAAATTCGCCAGTTGCTGAAGAGGTTTGTATCGCAAAGTTTCGGTCACTCAATTAGTGATTTACATTCTCGTTGCAATGGTGCGAGGCAAGATGAGCAAACCTGGCAGCAATGATGGCATCCACACCCATGGATGCCGATAATCCACTTTTCTCCTTGACGATTTGCTACTTGATCAAGGCTTTGGAAGCTAGCTAAGCTTTGGTTTCTTTCTATGTGTACGCAATGTGTATTTGGACGAGCATGGCATTTAGCTACCTTGGAAGGAGTTTTGACAACGCCCTGAGATTGCTATCCGAATCACTCTTGCTCTTAGCATGACTCGCTGGAAGTTCCTGGCTCTCACTGTAAGTTTTCTCTTGAGTTTTCCAGGCTCTTTACACTTGGTTTTTGTTTTTTAGTGCTAATGGAGATGTTGTACATGCGCAAAGCAGCTCAACGCCATCTCCTGTGACATTGTTCGCCATTGAGATAGCTAACTTTACTCCCTTTCTTTCTGCAGTTCTTGGTTGATGATCCATGGCAGCTTGTTTCTTTGGTGCAGAATTTAGCGTCTCTCAAGGAATGCTGAGATGCTGAAGTAAAGAAGGCATACCCGAGCAAAGGAGACATTCCAGCCCGACTTTGATCCGGTAATGTTGCAGAACTATGACACATCCTCATGTTCTAGGAATGCAGCACAGTCGGATGCCTTTACTGTCGGAGATGATGGAAGAAGAAGAGCCCGAGAAGGCCGAGCTTGAGAACAAACTCATGAAGACTAGGAAAGTAAGTTCCTCTTGTGGAACTAGAGTTTGTTCTCTTTTCTCTCTTTGTCACAGCATGCATTGAGGAGAGATGTGGCCTCAACACCAAAGCCAAGGAAGCTCGGATAAACACCAAGTCTAACAGCGCTCAAGCCGGATTGACAGAAAGCAGTGGAGCTGCCAGGTATCATCACGCTCAGTAGTGAAGCACTTCTCATGACCTCTTTTCACTCTTCCTCGAAAATCCTTTCATAGTTGTACTGATCCGTCACTTCCTTTTCTACAGGAACGCCTCTCTCAGTCTTTCCCAGAACAGATCAACCGAGCAGGCACTTGCCCAGCACCGCCAGCACCGCACCCCACCAGCCGCCAGCGCAGCACCGCAGCTCCATGCCGCCCCGGATTAACAAGTCGACTTATAAGTTCAATTATAAGTCTGACTTAGCACAACTTTTCATTTTGGGCCAAAAAAGCTCCGTGTGATTATCCTAAGATTGCATGAAACCATACACACACCATCTTATTCAGCACCCCTAATTACCTCTCATTCATACTAGATTTATTATAAATCTTCTAGCATGCTTGTTTTCAGTATAAGCTGTATATCTCATTGCAGCACCGACGTCTAAGTTGCCATCTTCGAAGTGCCACCCAGCTACAAACTTCCTTTGCAAGCAAGGCAACACTGTAACTACCTTAATCTCCACCACCATTAGTCTTGCACAAGATGGACTCTTGCTACCTTTGCCTCTAATCATGATAGTGTGTGTGAATGCTACCAAATTTTGATCTTGATCAAGCAAGCAAGAGAGGTTAACAATTGTTCCCTACCTCCAACTAGGCACCCATGACCCCCCAAAAACATGTATAATATAGAACTTCAGATAACTTAGTTGCTTTAACTGATAGCACATTCTTTTGTGCCACAGGGACCAAGAGTGATAAGAAAATCAATTTATGTTGTGGTCTCATGCCTCTAGTTCGCCATTGCAAGACCCCCAAAAAGATGTATTATTATTTCTTTAAGTGTTCAATATTGTGCTATGTTAGAATATGTTTTCTCCTTTAAATCTCAAAAACCAGGTTTCTTCCCTACTTACACAGCGACTGAACCACATTGTGAATGTTACTAATGCAAGAATACTGATCCCTATCAGTGGAGATATACCAATCCTGTACATGCTTAGTGAATCACTAACACTAGTGAGAGTTTTCATCACTATTCCAGATTGGTGAGCGTCACTGATAGATAGTTTAGGTTGGTTCCTTAGTCTCTAATGGCAGGACATGTCTTGGGTTTCCCATGCCCTACCAAGCCAATGTTGCATAAGAAAGTGTTATATTCCTTCTCTTCTGTCAAGCCCGGGTTGATGTGTTTACCAAGAGCTTATCAACTCAGTAGCCATCACTAATGCATCTCTGCAAATGCTGGCAAGATTTGAGCTCAATGGACTTGATGGAGCCATGAACCTTGTCCCGCTTTAGATAAAACGCTTGATCGATGAGCATCTGTTTCAGACATAGGGCTTCTTCCAGCAGTGACTCTTTGTCTCTATATAGTTCTTAAACAACATACTTCAGTAGAGATTTAAATTGGGAATTTTGTCTAGGCCCATCTACTTGCTCCAAGCACTCAAGAAATCTCTATAAAGATACAAGCATGGTGGGCCCTAATATAACCTTTATATGAAAAATCCTCTCACTCTAAGAATATTCCTGGAATCTTTCTCTCCAAGGGCAACCTGGCACAAAAAAACCCATGAAAAACTTGTGGGGAGAAAATTTAGTAGTCAAATTAGACCCAAGATTGAGAAAAGTGAGAAAAAGAGAAAAACAACTAAGTAAACTCAAAAGAAAGAAAAGAAAGAAAAGAAAAAAAAAAGCCAAGGTCTAGTGAAGAGACTCAGACCTAAATCACACCCTCTAAAGTTCTCAAACCTTTAAAAGTACCCAAAATCTGCCATGAAATGGAATTGCATTGCTCAATAGTGGTAAGTGCAAAAAGTGGGAGTATACAAAAAATAGATGGAAAGGAAAGTGCCTCAAGGTAGGGAAGTACTAATGCTTGATCAAAAAGAATGCTAGCCACATGGTGAGATAAAGAGCTCTTAAAAAATGCCAACTGGATTGTATCAAAAGCTAGAAGTCTACAACAATATGCAGTGAAAGTTGGCAAATCTCTAATCTTCATCTATAGAACTGCTTTTAATTGGGGAAGCATGCCTAAAACAGATCTAGATGCCTTCTGCACTCCAAACCAACCATTAAAAGACTTTGCTTCACTTCTATAAGTATCGAAATAGCTACACTGGATAGAATTGTTGCTAGAACGTGGAGAAGAAAGAGATTCTCCTACTGAAACTTTGCTGAACGGTGGAGGCTGTCTATGTAAAGACTCTGTGCCTATAAACCATTGTGTCAAGCTAAATTGTGGTACCAAATGAAAAGATGGAAAAGGCAACTACTGGATAGATGGGCAATGGTGTAAGATGTAAAGCCCAAGGGGAATCAAAACTTGGGAAAACTTGAGCTTCTGGACAAACAAGATTAATACCACCTCAAGAGCTACAACCCAAGCAAGAGGCTACTTCTAATGACCTTGTGACCTGGAGAAGAAAGAAAGAACAAAGATTGGAGTTGGGAGTTCAAAGTTGTTGTAAGTGTCCTATAGGTGTCCTAGGAACTTGCACCACTATCCCAAAAGTTGAATTGAGTGCAGTTGGATGATGAACCAAGGCACTGATGGGAAGCTGAAGATGTCCTAAATTAGCCATAGAAGTTTGGAGGGTGCATGAAGTGGTGTCTCCCCCAAAAGGTATATTACACACTAGCACGTCAAGATCACAAAGCTGGGGGAAACGTGCTCCACCTATTGTGCTGAGTAGAAGACAAGTGCCTATGTGCTTTCTAAGAGCTGGGAGTCTCACTAAGCAAGCACTGAAGGTGTGAATCTTGTGTCCACCACCTTTGTCGCTATGCAATCATCAAAAGGATAAATTGCTTTAAACAAGGCCTGAAGGTAATATCTATTCTGCTCCAAGTTGGAATAGAAAAACTTGCTGGAACCTTGTGGCATCCCTAGCTTTGTGAGCCCAAAACTCACATGCAACACATCCAAAGTCTCTGCTAATGAATGAAGAGTGTCAAGAGGAGTCTCTTGAGAGTCACCATGAAGAGCTAGTGCAAAAATCATAGGCAAAAAACTCTCCCCTTGTGATGAAACAAAACTCACCTCAAGCATCTATAGTGTACATAGAGGCCCACAAAGTGTCCACATGTTAGTAAACAAGAGAACATAGACGGGTGAACATATTGCCACAAAAGCTGGCCTTAAGTGAAAACTCCTTTGCAGTGCCAAATGCCTGGCAATAAAAGAAGATCATTGACTTCAAGAGAAAATAGTGTGCATCTGGCCTAGGGATCATCAATAACCTCCTTCACTAAGTCTGGTATAAACACAACATTGGCATAACCTCCACAAGTACTCTAAAGCTCTTCTACTGGCTATAGAAGCAAAATCATGCCTAGGTCAGTTGTTGTCTCCAAATCCTTTGTAGTACGCTACCAAATCTTTGGTATATCTTGTGACTGGCTAGTCCTGAGTGCATTCTAAATAGATGAGTATAGATAGGAGAAATCCTAAGATGATATTGTTGAGCCAGTGTGGAAGACAGCAATTGTGTTACATTCCACCATCTTAATCTTTAGTAGTTGTGCAATAGAAGGAGTTTGCAACAAAGGCACATCCATCTGAGTATGTGATGGACCTGGAAGCTTTGGTATGGAGTCCTCCTTATCTCTCCAAGAACACTTCAACCTTGGGTCATCATAGAGTTCCAGCTTGGGCAAGCTCTGGGAAGCTTTGGGAAAACCACTGAAAGATCATCATATATTGGTGGCTCTGCCTCAACGGTGTTCACAACCTTAGGCTGCTCAAATTGAAGACGTCAGCCATGCCTCATTGAGAAGAATTGTAGAATGCTGCCTATTGGAAATTATCATAATGCCCAAACGCCATTTGTCTCATAATCCATTGCTTCATGCCAAGCGCGACCAAGGATGACACGGTCTCCACTGTGGATGCTCTAGCAGACTCATAATCCAAGACTAGGAAATCCACCATGGCCTCCACACCATGAACGTAAGTGCGTATGCTGCGGCAAATGCTTGTTAGTGTTAGAAGCACTGTATGATCAGCAAATGTTTTCAGCATAATTCCTATGGTAGAATTCACATTGCTTGACTCTGGCTCTAGGAGTAGGGTCGTCTCACTTAATACATTATCTTAGCTTGGATATCTCTTCAAAAACCTGTCCAGCTATTGTGATTGGAGCAATGGATCCAAGATTATCAGAGTCTGCACCAGTTGTACAAGCTCATTAGAAAGTGCTGGAGGAGCCCTAGAGTCAGCTTGAAGGTGAGAAAACTGATCCAACTGATCAGCCAAACTTGGAATACATTTGAGCAAGTGAAACTATAAAGTTAAGCACCTGGATTTACTCCAAAGATGAGTTGGAACTATCTCCATGATAACATAGGAAGCAAAAACACTCTTCTGTAAATCATGAGGCAAAATCCTTGTTTGTTGAGAAGCTGTGGCAGGAACTATAGATGTCATTGCAGATGTATGTGGAAAGGGCATCTGCACTGCTGTAAGTGGAGATGGTGCAGCAATTGGTGCTGGTGCATGATCAAGCTCAATAGAAATTAAGATTTTCTTCTTCTTGCCTTGTGTCACAGTTGCAATGGTCTCTTCCATCATGAACTCCACTTGTGCAAAAGCCTTGCCATGATCTTTTACTTCAGTGGCTTTTTGTTGCAACCTGGCCTGGTAGGTACTCTCTCCTTGAAAACTGGAGCTATCAGCTATACCTCCTGTTTCCTCCTTAGCCACTGCTCTAGATGCAACTTCCAGCAGTGATTTCTATTATGAGTTTTGGATTTGTGGTGCAAGCAATAACAAGGTGGATGTTGAAAAGAAGCTTGAAGCTTGAATGACTTGAGCTCCTCCAAAAGTTGATCATGTTGCTGCTGCTAGGAAAGAACGATCTGTTGTTGCTACTATTGCAAGAGGCTCTTGTATTGTTGGAGCTGATCAAACACAGCTGGATCTACAACAGGAATAGGAGGAACAAGATTGTGCCCTGGAAATGGCATAAACAACATCAGAAGGTGACAGACTAAAGCTCTCTAGCCCACTAGAAATATCAAGTTCTCAATCTCCATTGTATGTGCACATGTTTAAGTGATGCCACTTTGCCACCTTTGCTGAATCCCTAGCTTCAGCCCACTCACATAAGCAGAGATGGTGACATTCTCGTCCTTCATTGGCTCTTTTGAAGAAGCTATTGCATGTCTTTTCAATCTTGAATGCCTTACAAAAGGAAGCCAACAATCTAGACAAGACCTTGCACTCCACCTCTATCAAAGCTCTCACCCAGGCCTGTGCTTTGCCCATCAAAGATTGTACAAACTCCAAGCATCATATCACATTGCTTAAGATGTGATTGGATGCATAATATTGCAAGACGTTGTCA